ATCAGATCAGAACCTAACTGGCCAAGAAACTGATGAAAAGGCATTTAGCAGCAAGATAATCAGTGAAGCAGTAAACCCACAAGCAGAGCTCTGTTGGGTAGTACACTACCTCACTGATCCAAGGGGAGACAAATACGAATATCGGCCTGGGCCATTTGGACCTCCCCCCTCCCCCCAAGAATTGGCTGGTCCACTTACCACTCACTGTGCAACGCGGACAGCAATTGTTCATGTCACACCAATCGTGGAAGTAGTTCGGCTGGTGCTCCCGTGCCTCTCTGCCCTGCTGACCATTCAGCAGCTGAGCGGGGAGACTCGTCATCCCACCTTCTCACTGGAGCGGTCAGCTCTGCAGGGATGTGGGGAAGTACCGGCTGGACTACTTCTGCAATTGGTGTGATGCAGGCAATGACGGCCATGTGTGCCATACTGTGAGCAGTAAGCAGACAGTTCTGGGGGGAGGATCCAAACAGCCCAGGCACCTGTGGTGCTGCTATGTGTATTCATCTCCCAGGGGAGACAAATGTGAATATCCCATGTCTAGTGGGGACATGTTAAAGGGCTTTTTTTTGGTGCTGCGCCCAGACTCTGGAACTCCCTACCACAAGAGGCCAGGCTGGCTCCATCTTGGCTATCATTCTGCAAGCATCCAAAGAGCTTTCTCTTCAGGCAGGCTTTCCCCAAACGACTGGCTGCTTGAGTGGGGTTTTTAAACAGATTATTATATGTTACTGCTTTGAATATATTTTGGTGTTTCTTATGTTTTTTGTGTGGTATTTGTTTGATCCTTCTTTATATTTCTATACTTTTTTGTTGTCAGCTCTAATATTGTCTTTAAATTATGTAAGTCATCTTGGGTCCTTTAAAGGAGAAAGGTGGGGTAAAATATTTTAATTAATTAATTAATTAAGAAGTATTTAAGGAGAGCCTCCACTTGTGGTAGCTACAGATTTGGGCCATCTGTTCTGCCATAATTTTTGTTTGTTGTCACTGGTTTAATTTTTGCTGCTCTGTCTGATGGTAGTTTATTGTGGGATATCTGGCTCAGGAGGATAGAATTTCTTATATTTGTTGTTAACTGTCCAGAGTATTGCATGTCACTAGGTTGGACCCTATATAAGAACTGTACATACATAGCATGATAAAAGGGGAAAAAACAGAAAAAATATTTCTACATGCATTACCAGAATTAGCCACAAGAGATCACCACACACCATGCTATGTATTTTTCACTGTAGTCTCCAGCTCCCTCTAGTGATTGCTTCTGGTAATACATCTGAAAATACTTTTTCTGGATATTTTCCCCTTCTAATAGTTTTAATATTATCAGACTGTGGATAAGTGAATCAGTGAATACTGATCCCATGGATAATGGGGGCCTAATGTATTTGAAATAAACATATAAATGAAAAATACTGAATAATGGTACGTAGATATGTGCATCTGTAGATATGTACAAGGGGAAGCGAAACCAGTTCTCATTCTTTTTGGGAAGCTGGGAAATATTGGTGTTGCAGTGGGATTTCATGGGGAATTTCAGCATCCTCACAAAATCACCAAGAACTAGAAATTTATGAGTACTTGTCACATCCCTACACAAAAGCTACATTATGTTCATTCCCAAAGTAACAAGTATGCCCTTTCATTGATTCTGTAGTAGAAACCCTACAGGCATGAGATACTTTATCACTCCTGTACATTTGCTCAATTATCTTTATAGTTCTATATTTATATTTCTGTATTTGTTCCATCAATTAAACAACATTAGCACTAACCACAACTAGGTCCATTCTTATGCATGAATATGTGGCACATTTTGTTCAGCCAACAGCTGTTTCCTGTCTTGCTGTTAGCCTGTGTGATTAGCTATATCCAGTTGCTGAGCATGTCCAGCTGGCATCACTGATGATGCACAGAGTGGGGTATAGTGTGGGTGCAAACCCTACTCGTTTTGTCTATACAGTCATGCCCCGCTTAACGATTATCCCGTATAATGACGAATCCACTTCACGATGATGTTTTTGCAATCGCAATCGCAAAACAATGTTTTAATGGGTTTTTTTCGCTTTGCGATGATCGGTTCCCTGCTTCGGGAACCGATTCTTTGCATTACGATGATCAAAACAGCTGATTGTCGGGTTTTCAAAATGGCCGCCAGCTGCTCAAAATAGCTCACTGCTGTTTTTAGGAGGCATTTCGCTTAACAAGCACCCGAAAATGGCCGTCGTATGGAGGATCTTCGCTGGATGAGCAGGTATTCAGCCCATTGGAACGCACTGGACGGTTTTCAATGCATTTCAATGGGCTTTTTTATTTCACTTGACATTTTCGCTCTACAGCGATTTCGCTGGAATGAATTAACGTCGTCAAGCAAGGCACCACTGTATTTTGCTCTGAAAGGTACGGATTACACTGCAATTAAATTTCTAAACTGCATTTTAAAAAATTTCCTAGTTTACTGCTGCAGCACTGACTGACTCAGCACTAATTGAAATACTCACCATGTCTTGTTAGTTAAGTGTTTTTTCACCTGCAAAAGTACTGGAATGCCAATAAAAATGGTGGGTAAGAGGGTGGTGATGATGGAAGAAAATGGTAAGGGGGAAGGAATGCATCTTGCCATGATAATTTTTTTTCATGATTTAAATGCCAAGGTGGAGTATAGAGAACTTTGTGTCAATGTAGGACAAATGTCTATGTGGTCACACACTCACTGATCAACTCAAGGATACCGACAAATCAAGAGGTCTATGCATGATTATCCTGAGGATGATAAACTACAAGCAGAAACCATATAAAGGTCATATGCCTTTACGCACAAAACATTTAGGTAAACTCTTCCATTCACTTCACCTATAAAGGGACAAGTTCCACAGATGCCAAGAAGGAATATGGTTCATTGATCTTAAATGGCACATCTTCTGGTTTTCATTAAAATAAAAAAAAGTTCATCTTCCAACATGTTCACATGAAAAATCAGGTAGCACACGACAGGAATGATGTGCTGCTCTTCACAATGGACGCACAACCACCCATCACTTCCAACAGCCATCAGCTACACTGAGCACTATCGGTGGGGAGATAAATCCATTTCAGAATTTAGTGTCAAATATACACAAGCTACCCAAAGTACATAACATTATCATCAAAACAAGTTCAGCACTTTGGATAGCGCCTGTAGAATCGGAGTACAGTACAACTGAAGAGGTCTCATTGTAGCCACTAGACTCCACTGAGACAGAGCAGAATTTTTGACTTGGATGTCCTAGCCAGCTTTGCAAATGTTCATTTCATTGATATGAAATGGGGCAATTCTGATGGAGAAACAGTTAGTTGTACATGTTCCTCAGCACTTCCTCTCCTGCAGAATTTTTAGAATTGGAGAAAAAAATGCCACCAACGCCGGGGCTGGACAAAGTGTGACCCTCCAGAAGTTGCTGGATAACACCTCCCACAAGTTCTAATTGTTATAGCTAAGGACAAAGAATGCTTGGAATTGTAGTTTAACATCTGGAACATCTGCCTGCACTGTCCACACTTTTAGAAATCACTCATTTGCTTCTCCATATGCTGAAAATCAGTGAGGAAACCATAAGCAAAAGTAGCAGATATATCATTTTGACCTTAGTGAGCCATCTTTGTTTCCTATAGCAACCTCAGGTTTTCTCTGCCACACTGTGCCTTTTGCTTTTTTCCTGAATATCACCATGTGTCTGTTTATATTTCAGATGTTTTGTCCCAGGAAAGAAAGATAGACAAAGAAACTGTTCTGCCAACTGACCCACCCAGCAAACCTCACGGTTATTTGTCAAACGGTCTGCTTGTTTCTAAAGAATGGGCTGTTGCTTTTTGTGTGTGTGAATAACTTTTCATTTGCCTTTACTATTAACCTACCCAAGCATTATCAAAGCTGTCTCACTGAGCCAGTCAAACAGAGAGGACTTCTTCTCTGCCTTTCTGGGAATGTTAATTTGCTTCAGTGTGTATCTCTATTCCACTTGCCTTGCTCATTTTCATATGCTTCACTGCCAGAGCTACCGGTCACATTCACTAAATACATGCCTACAGCCTGCTTCTGTTTGACAGACAAAAAATCCTGTGAATTTTGAAAAATGTCTAAACCTTGCATTTCTTAAGGCACCAACAGCTTACCAAGTCTAAAGGAACTAGTACCAAAATGGAGGAAGCTGCACAAATTGGCAACAGGTTTCCCCACCTTTTAAAACTATCACAGAACAAAAGATATGGAAATTGTCATGTTGGGAAACGGGGTGTAGTTTGCATTCAAATCACACACTGAAAACTACAATGTAAATGAATGGTGAGGATGTGTTTGTGTCGCTCTCCTCCAGACCACCCCACTCCTCCTTTGCCTCCTACACTTCATTTTTTCAGACATGTGTTGCCTTCTCACATAAACAGCTAAACACAAAAAGAAGGTTCACCAAGGAAACAGATAAATTGTGCCTTTTAACTCCCTTCTTCGTCAGTGTTTTCTTGATATAGTATCTAGACAAAAAGAAAAACCAAACAAGAAGAAGAACAAAAACAAAAACAGCAAAAAAACAACATGGCAGCACCTTGCAAACTAGCTGTTATTTCAGTGCAGAGCTATCATGGATACGTCCAGTTCTTCAAATATACATCCATGTGAAAAAGAAAGGACACCCTCTTCGAATTCTATGGTTTAACATATCAGGACATAATAAAAGTCATGGACATAATAAAAGGTCTTTATCATGATACGGTGTAATCTGCCATGTATTGTTTATCTGAGGTGATATTTAACTAATTTTCAGACCTGATAAAGACCAGATGATTTTTATTATGTCCTGATACATAATACCACAGAATTCAAAGAGGCTGTACTTTCTTTTTCACATGACTCCATCACCTTGAGATAATTTTTTACAATACACTTTTAAAGGAAAGAAAAAGCAAGACAAAGGCAAAAGGGGGAGGAATGAAATTAATAATTTAGGGAAAGGACCATCATTCACCTTAAGGAGTTCATAATGCTGAATGCCGTTCACTCCAATGTCTGGATCGATCGCAGATGGGACAGAATAACGAGAGTTGACAGCCGTGTTCTCAGGGATGGAGATATTAATGACCGTTGATGGAAAAAGAGGGGCGTTGTCATTTATATCCTCAATCAGAAACCGAATCTTGACCAGTCTGAAAACTTCATCAGGCAGGACAGCAACTTCCACCTCATAAAAACAACGATTCTCACTAAAAATGCCAGAACAAAGTTTCTCCCGATCAATGCGGTTAGCTGTGGTGAATATTTCTCCAGTATTCTCCTCCACACGGACCAGCGGAACATCCCCTGTCTTGTACACAAGTTTGAACTGGAGAGGCGATGAAAGAGGCACATCTGGGTCCAGAGTCAAGTTGAGGTCTTTAAGCAAATTGCCAATTAGGACATTTTCTGGCAGCTCCTCTCGCACTGTATAATTCTTCTCCTGAGCACCAGACTGGAACACAATGCAGGCTAATAAGACTGCCAAGAGGTAGGTCCCGGAAAGCAAGTCCATCTCCAGAATGGCTAGGGAGTTGTCCAACTGAACAGCAAAAAAAGCTGGAAGGAAAGGAGAGAAAGTGAATGTTTTAAAGAATGGAATAGAAATATAAGATCAATTTTCCCTCTTTTAGAGAAATATTCAATATAGTCAGTATAATTTGACAACAACTGTATCCTTTTTTTAAGGTTAATAAATAATTTTTACAATGACTACTGGCATACAGAAGAGCAGTCCCTTGGGAATACAGTTACTGCTTGTAAGGCTTTGCAGAATGGGATGTTTTCAACGTAGGGCTTCCACACAATGCAACTATCAGCCAAGCAGGCCCACTGCCCCGGAACTTTTTTCACAGGGCAACAAGGCATGAGCACAATATATTGGAAGCAACGCACTATGAATGGGAACGAGAATCGTTCTGTCAAATTATAAGTCAGGTTACGGTTCCTCAAAACTGGTTCTATATCTCCTTTCAAACATTATTCTAGTTCCATAACATCCATTTTCCCATCGTTAACATCTCCAGGACAGTAAGCAAGTATTTCTGTAACTTAGACTGGTTAAGGATTTCCTTCAATATATTATTACATATTAATAGTGTACACTTGAAAATAGGAGTAGTAGGGTAGCTACATTTGTATTCTGCCTTTCCTCTAATGAACTGAAGGTGGGGTATATGAATCTTCTCTCCACTGTTTCCTCAGTTAAAAAGAAAAGCAAAACATCCTGTCAAACTCATCAGGCTGGAAGTCAAGGCCACCCTTTGATGGTCCTTGCTTGGTTAGGACCAACATCTTCATCTCCCATGTTCCAATACAACACTATAACCACGACACTACACTGTCATTCCAAGTTCTTTAGCTTGTGCTTTTGGAGTAAATAATAGTCAAATTCACACTCCTCATTAACTATACAGCATAGCTTTATCCATGGTCTGGGAAGTGGGATAATTCAGCAGTCCTGCCTGCCACATATAATAGCATTAAGTGTTTTTTTGCCACACGTAGAAAGCTCCAGTGTTATAATCATTTTTGCTAATAAAACTAAGAGACAGACAGAAGGCAATTCTCATCCCTGAAGAGAATCCACTGGCAACCATTAGTGTTCTATTATTCCCTTTGTTCTTCTTCCAGCACATTCATGCACTTGAGGGCCTTCTCCTGAGGAAAAAAATAGAAGCATCACTCCCTCTTTTAATCTGCATCCAACTTCATAGAAAGCAAAGCTGCTTGGTGGATCTTAAAAGCACAAAAAGTTCTATCTGTACTGTGTTCTTTTCTGGTATGAGAACTCAGGCTGGCAGGGAAAGCTAATCGGAGGGATACCCATCTGGCAGAACCCAACCGAGAGTAGACAAAATGAGATCCAAAGGAACAGTTTAATGTTCCAAAGGATGCAGGCAGTTGCAGGTCATGCAAAAAAAGTGGGTTAGTCCCCAATGCAAAAGAAATGCTCAAGGCTGGCTTCTTTAGATGGCGATCAAGATGGTTGTGCAAAATGTTCACTCTATTATAGGTTAGCATCACTTACTGGTTTCCTATTTAACTTGCTCCTAATCACTGATGCCTTTTATCATTAGGATCAATTATTGTGAATTTAGACTTACTGTATTGCAGTACACTTTGGATACTCCCCCAAGTCTTCAAAGACAGAGCCAATTGTTTCAGTACAAAGGTCTACACTGTATATATGCTCAGATTTCAGAATATGAGAGGATATTATCCATGTTAATGACCCGATCCAATTAAAGATGTCTTAATCAGTAATCCATTAATCTATCCACTAGTGTCCCTAAAAGTACCAGTTATGCAGGTCTGGCATAGCTCATCTTTCTAATTCTAAATTTAAGTTTTGTATGTATGAACACAAGTGCAGACTACCAAGTTGGACAGTAGCCACTGAGGTCCTCCTTAAGCACTAGCACATATGGTTGTTGTGACATCTAATACATTTACATTTGTGAAGCACTTTGCAAAATTAAATCACTGCAATAAATTTATATGCTTGAAATGTGTTAAACAGTAAATACACACTGTCACCTGACAATACTGTAAGATGAAATTAAGAACAGTAAAAAGGAATGTCTTTTTTCCTCCCTGAAAACTGTTTCTTTTCTCTTTTTTTAAATTCTATACTGAAATAAAAGAAGAACTGTGGTTATTGGACAGGGTTTTGCTTTGGCTGCTGCATTTGTTTTTTTCAAATCTAGCTGGTTAACATATGAGCACTAGAATTAGAATACACAACCAGGTTTTCCCCCTTCTGATTTATAGTCTCTGTACCTAGCCAGCTTGTGAAACCATATCAATAAAATTATCACCATCATCATCCAATAATCAAGAGCAGTACTTAAAGACTTGGAATAGAAAGAGCTGTTTGAGGCAAAATAAATGGTCAAAGCTCTTTGGTAGAATCATAGAATCATGGAAAAGTGAAGTTGGGAGGGGCCTGCAAGGCCATCAAGTCCAACCCCCTGCTCAACGCAAGAATATAATCAAAGGATATCTGCCAGGTGGTTGTCTAGGTTTTTCTTGAATGCCTCCAGTGTTGGAGCACTCAGCAACTCCCGAGGTAACTGGTTCCACTGTTGTACTGCTCTAACACTTAGGAGGTTTTCCTGATATTCAACTGAAATCTGGCTTCCTTTAACTTGAGCTCATTGTTGCATGTCCTGCACTCTGGGATGATCGAGATCCTGCCCCTCCTCTGTATGACAGCCTTTCAAATATTTGAAAAGTGCTATCAGCCTTCTTTTCTCAAGGCTAAACATGGCCAGTTCTTTCAGCCTTTTCTCATAAGGCTTGGTTTCCAGCCCCCTGATCATCCTTGTCACCCTCCTCTGAACTTGTTCCCATTTGTTCACATCCTTCTTGAAGTGGGGTGTCCAGAACTGGACACAATACTCAAGGTGAGGCCTAACCAGTGCTGAATAGAGAGGAACTAGCACCTCGCGGGATTTGGATACTAGACTTTTATTAATGCAGCTAAATGCATTTGCCTTTTTTGTAGCCACATCACACTGTTGGCTCATATTTAGCTTGTGATCTATGACAATTTCAAGATCCTTCTCGCTCGCAGTTTTGCTGAGCCAGTTATCCCTCATCTTGTAACTGTGCAATTTGTTTCTTTTTCCGAGGTGCAGTACTTTGTACTTATCCCTGTTGAATTTCATTCTGTTGCTTTCGGCCCAGTGCTCCATCCTATCAAGGTCATTTTGAATTTTGTCTTTCTCGTCTAGGTTATTAGTTATTCCACCCAATTTAGTATCATTTGCAAATATGACAAGCATTCTCTACACTTCAAGTCATTAATAAAAATACTGAAGAGCACCAGGCCCAGGACTGAGCCTTGGGTACCCCACTAGTTACCTCCTCCCTTCTGTAGCCAATTGTGTATCCACCTGACACTTGATCTATCCAGCCTACTCCTAGTTAGCTTGCTCATCAGGATATCATAGAGCACTTGGTGAAAAGCTTTGCTGAAGTCAAAATATACTGTGTCTACAGCATTCCCTCCTTCTGTCAGGGAGGTCACCTGATCAAAATATGAGATCAAGTTAGTTTGGCAGGAGTTGTTCTTGACAAATCCATGTTGGCTTCTAGTCATTACTGCCTTGTTTTCTAGGTGCTTGCACAATGACTGCTTTATGATCTGTTCTAGAATTTTCCCTGGGAATGAGGCCAGGCTGACAATCCTCTGGCACCTCCCCTGTTTCCCATTTATTTATTTATTTATTTATTGAATTTATATCCCGCCTATCTGGACTATAAGTCCACTCTAGGCGGCTTCCAGCATATAATAAGAATAGAATACAATTAAAAAACATGTGCATAAACATAAATAATAATTACAATCACAGCAAACAAAAAGGCTTACAAAGAAGAATAAAACATTATAAAATACAATCAAATAAGATCATCAAAGTATATATAAAGTATATATAAATCAGTCACATAATTAAATCAGCAAATTAGAAGATCAAGATGGAAGAAAAGCGAAAGAAAAAAGAAAATCAGGTGTTGACTGGAGGGAAGACCTGCCTGAAGAGCCAGGTTTTTAAATGACTCTTAAAAACACCCAGCGAGGATGCCAGGGTGATTTCAGGTGGCAAGGTGTTCCATAGTCGAGATGTGTGCTTGCTTGTTTGCTTGTTTGTTTACTACTCCATTAGTGCAGTGCATTATTCTGGGCAGCTGACAAGCTAAAACCAAACAATCACAAACAAACAACAAACCAAATAATAAAATTTACAAAGCAAAATAAACTTTTCAAGTATGAATGCCAAGAGAGTGTGGCTTTTGCTACTCACATACTTGAAGAATGCTTTTTTAATTGCTTTTAATGACCCTAGCTAACCTCAGCTCACTCTCAGCGCTTGCCCTCCTAATGCCACCCCTGCATTTTCTTGCTACTTGTCTGTCCTTGGTGTACTGACCTTCTTTCCATTTCCTGTACATGTCTTTTTATTTTTTAGGTCCTCCCTGAGTTTTTTGCAAAGCCACAGTGGCCTTTTTTTTGCCACCCACACCCCTTTTTTTCTTGTTGGAATTGTTTGTAGTTGTGCCTTTAGAATTTCTTTTTTTAGAAGCTCCCCCCCTTCTTTGACTCCTTTTCTTGTTTGGATCTCCTGCCACGGGACCTTACTTATCCTTGTTCTGAGATTATGAAAATTGGCTTTTTAAAAAAATCCAGCAGAAGTGTGTGGCTACACTCTGTTTTTGTTTCCTTTGAAATCAAGAATTCTAGAAGGACATGGTCACTCTCGCCTAGAGTTCCCTTTACTGCCACTTCCCCCACCAGGTCACCTCTGTTGGTCAAAATCAACTCAAGGATAGCAAACCCTCCAATTTTTGTAGGAGAAAAATTATCAGCCACACAAGGCAGGAATTTCTTGGAAGGGCCATACTTGGCAGAATTTGCCTCCCAACATATATCTGGATAACTGAAATCTCCCATCACTACTGGGTCGTGTCTCTTTTAAATGCCTGCAATTTGTTTTTCCAAAGTTTCGTCCATTTCCTTTCTCTGAGGCTGGATCCAAAAGCCAGCCCTACCATTA